ACTAGTAGTGGTGGAATCAAAAGCGACTGGAGAATTTGAATTAATCACATATTAATGTGTCTGCAAAATGTGAACGATGTTGTGCAAAGGTCAACCATGTTCCGGCGATTACTATTCTTCAACCCAAAGGATGTTAGCTTCGACTACAAAAATGTTCCCCTTTGAAGATGCAAGGATCTATCCTATCTATGTTAATGTCGTAATTCATCTAAAAAAATGTTAATTATGCTTTCATGTATCTATAACTACTTGTTCTTCGGCGACACTATACAAACCCTTGATGACATTTAAAAGGTTCGGCAATAAACCTTTCCAATTAGGGAGGCATTATGTTAGACCCATATTTAAAATTAGTTGACTTAAAAGGTATAGACTCAACCCAGGATTATATATGGCTAGACTCTAGTCTAGGCATCTTAGCCTACACCCCTCCCTAAACTCATCGTTTAACACCCCTTCCCCAAATACTCACTTTTACAGTAACTACATAGTAATATCCGTACTATTTCCCCCACCCCATATATACATAAGAAAAAAAAACCATTATCATTTCACTTTCTCTCTCCTCACCCATTTTCTACATTTTCTCTCTATACATCTATTTTTTGCATTTTCAAATATGAAATTTCTATAAATTTGTGACAAATTATCAAAAAAAATTGTTCAGTTACTACATAATTCAACTAATCAAGGTCGAAATTCAAAGGAGTAAGTGATTTTGTTCATATTTAGTTCAAAAAAGAATATAAACGAACCCTAGTTTTAGTAATTTTTTGTTGCAATTGTGTTACAGGATCATCATCGAAGTATAAAACATAGAAAAAGATTATGAACTATTGCATTTTAGTAATTTTTACTAATTTTCGTTTAAAAACTAGTAATCTGAACAAGTAGCTTTTCATTTTTGGGTATGAACTATGAAGTATTCTCTCTTTTTTTTTTGGGCAGTTGAAGGAAATAGTTTCAGAGAAGAACATCAAAGAATCTGGAGAAAAGTAAACATTAATTGAATTAGTTTGTAGCGTTTCTTTTTTACTGAATGTTCATTTCCGTTTCAATAAATGTTCATTTATATACTAGTATACAATCATTCACATGTTAATAGATGATTAATATAAATATATTACTACATTTATATATCACAACATAGTCATTGTATTAATGTTAATTCTTTTTCATAGTTTGGAGTGGAAAATTATTACTACATAGTCATTGTATATATAAATGTCATTCTTTTTCATAGTTTGGAGTGGAAAGTGATTTTAGATGAATATTCGGTTGTATTTTGGTAGATGTTCAATCGCATAAAAGTATATGGTTTTCACATATTAATATACGATTACTAGAATTTTGATAAATATTTATATTTTGGTCATCTTCTTCAAATATTTCATACTCGGTTAAATTTTGAGTTTCAACATATGTCTTTTTTCAGATGGATGTATAATAAATCACATATTGATAGCTTCAAGTGTTATTTACGTATATATTTCATGTTCATCGATTGATATCTTTCATAGGCATTTTTAAACTAATGCATGTTCATTTATATATTAATAGATGTACATTTTCATATTCAATTATGTAAATATGTTCATTATTGTATTAATAGTTGTTCATTCCATATTAATAGATGATCAATTCTACAAATATATATGTTCATTTATATATTAATATATGTTCATTTCCATATCGATCATTTCAATTGTTATATTTTCATATTCATATGAAAATTGGTTCATTTCAACACTTATTCTTGCTCAAATCTAACTAAAAAAATCTTGTTTTTGTCGATTAGTTAAACAAAGAATCGTGGATATTTAGCAAGGAAAAAAAAGAAAGATCAGACGACAAAAATAAGGAAATCAAGAATGCATGGATTCGCGCAACATCAATATGTGTAGAATTGAATTGTATATTTAATATTCAATAGTTTAATTTTTGGTGATATACAATTTCTATTTGATTTTAATAAGAAGGATATAAACTTTTTGTTTCCCAAAGTATTATTACAAATCACATCGTTCAAAAGCAAACATTTAAATAGTATATATATAATACTAATATTTTTTTACGACTTTGAACCATCATTCACTAACTATATTAGAATATGTTCATAAACACACCTTAACGATCAATAGGAAACTGTACAAAAGTTAAACATTCAGTTCTTGTATCAAGTCACTCATAGGATCTAATATTTCTACACTTATTATCTTTATAATCCCTTATTAGAACAAATAAATCCTTTCATAAAAAATGAGTCATCCTTTCGCCTCTTACTCCTCCTAACTCTGATCCCAAACCTTTCATAAAAGCATACTCATTATATATTTCATAAGCATCATCTACCGAAGGAAATTGTTTCCTCCGAAAATCAAAGTGACTTGCTTCTTCAAAAATAACAGCATCCTCTATTCCCACTGCAATAATTAAAAATGTAATAAATGAACAAATACAGTAGCAATAATGGTCAATTACAATAATGCATTTGATCAATTACAGTAAAATTACCATATGTAAAAATATATATGATCATCTGTAGTTACATAACTGGACATTATTAATGAAACTACAAAACAGTGATAATCATTAAAAGTTGCATGTACAACTTATAATTCCATAAACACAAGTGTATATATAAATGAACATTTATAATTGCATAATTGGACATTATTACAACAAAACAGAATAACAAATGTTAAACTATTTTTTTTGAGGGAATAAATATTAAAATATGTTCACTAGTTAAAATTTACATGAGCATCTTTAAAAGAATGAAAATCATTCAAATTTACATGTACAACATATATTTTCGTATACGACTACAATAAACCTATAGTTTACTACAGAAACATACATTAAACATAAATGAACATTTACTATTACACAAGTGATCATTTTTTTTACTAAAAGTATTTTTAAACGATACACCAATGTGATAAAAATAAACGATTTGGAAAAATAATATTTAGTGTTCAATTTTGTAGCACATAATGTTTGTGCCTTTAAAGCTAACATTTTAAGTAAAATTTAATAAACAAGTTATAGTATTTAGTGTTCAATTTTGTAGCACATAATGTTCAATTATATAACACTTAATGTACTGTTTATTTTAATAACAATTCATTTTCATTAACATGTAGACTAAATCACAAGGTTGGGGATGCAAATTGCAATACACTGCTCAACTAATGCTACTGAAGAAAAACCATGAGTCTAAGAATAATAGAATAACATCAAGAAGATTTGCAAAGGCATAATATAATATGTTCACTTATGGATAGATATATGTCCATAGCTGGTTGATAAAACTTATACTTCGTAGATATTATTTGTTAACAGAATTACTCTATGTGATTAACTATTTAATTCTATACGTTTAAAGTTTGATACGGAGTAGATATTATTTGTTTATAGAATAATTCTTACAATTTTATATGAAAATTGCGGATTTTATGTAAAGTATTATGTTAATCAATTTTGATCATTCACAAAAGCTAAATGATTCTTTGCAAAAACTTAATGATCATTTTTAAAAACTAAATGCTCAATTACAAATACTAAAATATTCACTTATAGAAGATTTTAAAAAAAATTAATATTCAATAAGAAGAATAGTACTTAATAACAAGGCAAAAGCTAATGAGCGCCCCCGGGGCGTTAGATAAGAGAATTAAAGTGCAAATATTAGAGTAAAATTAACATTAATTGCACCGAACGACACATGATTTTGTCATGAATTCCTAACTTAATACTATTTCAACCAATATAATTTAACCTTATCTAACGCCCCGGGGCGCTCGTTAGCAAGATCCTAATAACAAAAGGTTAAAGATATTCTTATAAATATTAGAGCCATTTGAGCATTTATAGGAATTTTTACATTTTTGGAATATAATGGGAGGAAGTTGAGCACTCGATCTTTTGAACACTAGTAGCAACTTAATTATTTGCTTGACCATATAATTGGAATTTGAACACATTTCATAAACTTCATCAGCAGTTTTAAATTGTTTCGTTCCCCACTAACTCAGACTTACTTGCTTCTTCAAAAATAATAATATCCTTTTTTCCCACTGCAATAATGTAACATGTAATAAATTACATTAGCAATAATGTTCAATTATAATGATGCATTTGGTGAATTACAGTTGAATTACCAAATGTAAAACATAAATGATCATCTATCGTCATATAACTGAACATTATTTCTGAAACTACAAAATAGTGATAATCATTAAAAAAAAGTCACATGTACAACATATAATTCCATAAACACAAGTATATATATAAATGAACATTTATAATTACATAAATGAACATTGTTACAACAGAACAAATATAAAATATATTCACTAGTTAAAATGTATATGAGCATTTATAAAACAATAAAAATAATTGAAATTCACATGTACAACATAAGTATTCAAATACAACTACAATAAACATATACAAGTATTTTAATACATAAAAAATACATTAAATATAAATGAACATTTACTGTTACAGAAGTGATCATTATTTTAACTAAGATTATTTTTTTACGACGCACAAAATTGGTAAAAATAATCGAATAGCAAAATTAAAACAACAATATATACTCATACGATACGCACAGAACTGGAATAAACAACAATCAAAAATACAAAAAAAAAACCCCCGAATTAGATGGACAATATAAACTAAATTATTAATCAACTAATAACAACAATACCAAAACCAAAGCATTATCAAAATTAAAGTCAATACAACAAAAACTATGAAATCAGATCATTATAATCATCCAATTACTATTGTAAAACAAAGCATTATCAAAACAATTGACTAATTATCATTAAAAGTAAGAATTACTTATATTGATCTCCATGAAAGAAGAGAGAGAAAATTGAAAAACAATAAATCAAAAAAAAAACAGGAGAGAGAAAATGAAATTGGTGAAAAAGAGGAGAGAGAAAATGAAATTGGTGAAAGAAATGAGAGAGAAAATGAAGTCTATAAAAAAAAAACAACACTCAAATAATAACATTACAATAAAAAAAATACAAAAACAAAAACAAAAACAAAAAAAACAATCGAATTAGAAGAACAATACAACCTAAATTATTAATCAACTTATAACAACAACAATAATACCAAAACCAGAGCATTATCAAAATTAAAATAAATACAACAAAAACTATGAAATCAAAACATTATAATCATACAATTACAATCATAAAACAAAGCATTATCAAAATCGATTGACTGATTATCATTAAAAGTACGAATTATTTACATTGATCTCCATGAAAGAAGAGAGAGAGAAATTTAAAAAACTATAATAAAAAGAAAAAACAAGAAAGAGAAAATGATATCAGTGAAAAAGAAGAGAGAGAAAATGAAGCAAATGAGGTTTGTAAAAATGTTTATATTCTTGTTTGAATTGAAAGCAAAGAAGGAAAGGAAAAAAAAATAATACAAAAAGTGCTACTAGATAAAACGACGTAGTATAGAAAGGGGGGTGTAGGGGAAGCTGCATACATTAGAGTCTAGGGAAAAATTTGTATATTTTCTATTGTTTGTTTTGGACCGGCCCATAAAATAGAAAATAAGTCTAGAAAATACTTTTCCATTGAGCCCATATATTTTCCCTAAAAAATCAAGGTATTCCTGTTTTCCATTGTTTCTCCTACTCGCTGCGCTCTCTCTCTCTCTCTCTCATGCTCAAGCTCGTTGCTTCAAGATCTGCTATCACAAGGTAATTTCCAATTTATTCTGTTTCCTTTCTTTAATTTTTGCTTCTTTATTGGATTCAATTGGTTTATTTGATTCAACTGCTCTCGAAATTCTAGGTTAGGTTTGTGATTAATTAGGTTTTGTTAATATTCTTCTATATTAAAGAACAAGTGAAGTAATAATGAAAAATTCTGGAATTTGGTTGATTTTTTGCTATTGATTTGGGAATTAGGGTTTGGTGGACTATTTGCTGGACTTCTGTACTTTGGCTAGTTCCAGTGTAATGTGATGAAGCTTCTGTGTATGAATGTGATTATTTGATAATCGATAATATGCTTATTTATGATGTTGGCTGTAAATTTCCATTAGCGGCGAAAGTTCATCTCTAGTTATACAAGAATTGGAGCTGTGATCATCTATGTTAGGTGATAACCATCGATATATATAGTATGTAGTAGAATAATGAGGCTAGCTGATGTTCAGAAGTCTCTGCTATAGTATAATCTTAGACTATCCTAGTTGATAACTTTCTATAGTAATAATTGTAGTAGAATAAACCTGCTTAGCATTCTTACTGTTGTTGCTGGATTATTGATGTTTAATCAATATCTTGAATTCATGTTATAAAAGTATGTAGTATTATTAGTATATATTTTCTGTTATTAACTGATTTTTTGCTAAAGTATAATGTTGCATTGCATTGCTTTGCTGTACCTAATATAATGAATGGTATACCACTTTGCTTTCTTCTAGTGTAGTTTGAGCAAAATTGCTTTGCTGTTTGTAGTCTAGTGTAATCAACACCTCCTTTGCCCACACTATCCCTATCTCTGATAGGGATACATGTTCTAAAATAACTTTTTGGTGAAAAACTCTATAAGCATGTTATTGAGGGTAAGCTTAAAGTTGTTTTGTTAATTGTTGTTGTAAGTGTGTTGTTGCCGTTGAGTTAGATTGATCACTTTGATAATACCATCAATCATCATAATTTTCTTTTTTCAGATTACTATTAGTTATGGAACCGAAGCGTGGATTGTATACCCAAAAATCATCTAAGGTATAACTTTGCCCAAAAACCACTATCAAATTAATATACATATAAGTATGCTTAACCTTTTGTTTTTTTTGATGGAATTGATGTAGATGACTAATGATACTAAAGGCATTGTTATTGGCGTTGTGGCTGCTGTTATTGCTTGTTCTCTTGCTTTTCTTAACGAGCGTAGGTCTAAAACAAGAAGGCTAAGAATAATTAGGCAACCCTATATTAATAGAGATAGTGTGAGGTCGGAGATTGTTAATAGTGTTTTGTATTGTGGTGATACTCATTGCTTGGGTCAGATTCGTATAAGGCCTCAAGCATTTTTCAATTTATGTAATATTCTAGTTGAAAGAGGACTTTTGAAAGAAAATATTCGAATAGGTGCTAAAGGACAAGTAATGATATTTTTATACATTTTAGGGCATAATGTAAGATTTAGGGCAGCAGGGGGAAGATTTTTCCGATCAATTGGGACCATACATCATTACTTTCATGTTGTTCTTAAAGCCATCCTTAAATTGTACCCAGATTTTGTCAAACCACAAGCCTCTCCTCTTCCATCTGAAAATCAAAACAACCCTAGGTTTTTTCCTTGGTTTGAGGATTTCATAGGAGTTATAGATGGGACACATATACGTGCATATGTCCCAATTAAAATGCAAGGTCGATTTCGTGGTAGAAAGGGTGGTACAACCCCAAAAAAATGCTAGTTGCTGTTGGTTTTGATATGAAATTTACATATGTGCTCGCTGGTTGGGAGGGTTCTGCTCATGACTCAAAGGTCTTGCAAGATGTGCTCAAAAGGGGATTTAAGGTTCCTAATGGTACTTTAAGATTACTTTTTTGTCTGGTTTCTTTTATGCATTGGTTATAAGTTAGTAACTATGACAAATCTCTTTAAATTGTAGGAAAGTATTACCTTGTTGATGCGGAGTATGGTGACCGTAAAGGATTCATGCCTTCATATAGGCATACTCGCTACCACTTGAAAGAGTTTACCAACAATCCACCCGAGAATGAACGTGAATTATTTAATCTTCGACACTACTCACTAAGAATGGTTGTGGAGAGGACATTTGGAGTATTAAAGAAGCGATTTTGTGTCTTGGATGCTGAGCCATTTTGGCCGTATGAAACCCAAGTTGATGTAGTTCTAGCATGTTGTGTGTTACATAACTACCTTAGAGGTGTTGACCTAAATGGCCCAATTACAAGAGAAGTTGAAGTAGAGATGACATCACAAGATTTACAACACATGGGCGAAGCACATACTCGAGGGAAACAGCGAGAAGAAAACCAACAAGTTCAAAGGAAGAGAATGGCCATTGCAACGGCGATGTGGACTGTATACAAGAAGGCTCGAATTTGACGGGCTTAGCATATGCATCTTTAGATAATTAGTTCATTAATTATGTATTTTGTATTGTATAACAGTTTATCTTTTTAAAGATAACATTTTCAGTGATTATGTATTTTCAGTGATCATAGTGACCGATGCTGTAAATAAGGCATTTGCTGACTCTCCAATTGAAGTTGCTGATAAAACAATAGAAAGTTGAACTTGTTATGTTGCTTATAGCACTCAATTAGTGGATGTTACTCTATATGCTATTATGTTATTATGTATTTCTTATATGTTATTATGTTTTTTTTTTTTAGATTCTAATGCTAAAGTGATTGTTCCAGGTTATAAAAGAAGAGAAAAAGGTCAACTTTCGTTGGTCAAAGGACATGTCAAAGGAATTACTCGACTTTTTAGCTGAAGAAGTTAAAAAGGGTAACCGGCCTAATAATACTTTTTAGCTGTCGTGAGTGTAGTGTGGTGTTCTGGTGAGTGCATTCTGCAGTGTAGGTGTTCTAGTGAGTGCAGTGTAGGTGTTCTGGTGGCCTGGGTAGGACCGTAGTAGTTCATTGGTTCCCTTTTGAGACTAGTACAATCATGGAGATAAATCCCTAGAGTTTTTTGTTTCTAAGATTTCTGCACTATTATCTGAGTTGTCTTAATCCTGAATTAAACTCATCAGTCTGAAGATAGAATGCATTTGGTTATTGAGAACTTGATGTTTGTGTATTGCTTGGCTAGGATTTTGTCTTGTATTTGCCTCTCTGGCTATTTAGTTTGGTTTTAGGCACTTTATAGTAGAGATCTACCTGAAACTAAGTGAATTATGAATGTAGCGACATTGTACAAATCTGGAATTAGTTTACTCAGCCAACTAGCATCATCTTAGTAAATGGTAAATATTCCACCCCCCCCCCCCCCTTCCCCCAAACAAAATATAACAAAAATAAAAAATATTGCATAGTTTACTGTGAATAATGTATAGATCTAAGAACTGGTATACTCAGCCAATGCTCCTCTAATTCAATGACCTATAACAAGAGAATACATTCACTGAACCACCACCATACATTGATTTTAGCCTTCAGTTTGCGTGCATATGACACACTAACATGAGTACTGCTGGCCAGTAGCTTAAGCTTTGCTAGTGTGGATTACACGACCCTAATAACATTTTATTTTTGCAGGAATATCCGAAATATGAAAAGTTTTTTAATTGAAAAATTGATATGTACGAGGAGAAAATTGATATGTACGAGGAGATGGCTATAGTAGTGGGTAAAGATTTAGCACAGGGGAACTTCTCCAAGACATTTGCCGACATCGATGTTGATGCTTCAATAGAAAGTGGACAGCCAAGTATGACTATTGATAGCGTGCCTTCCAAGAGAGTAAGGCTGAGAGTGGTACCTCATCGGGCTCAAGGCCACATCGAAAGAGGTCTCGAATTGACGAAGGATCGAAAATGGAACACATTTCAGCACAACTTCAAGAAGTGGTTAGTGCTCCCAAAAAAATTTCAAACAATCAACGTGATGTGGAGAAGCTTTATGACGATATTATAAAGACGGAGGACATTGAAGAAGGGGTGCGTGTTGCGGCTTTTGATCACTTGGTGGAGCGCGAAATGCTTGCAAAAGCATTTTTGACAAAAAGCTTGCCACTACACAAACTTTGGATCGAAAAGTTTGTCAAAGACCATAAACATTAAAGTCTGCTTGTTGGTAGTTTGCTCTTTGTCACGTGCCGACTACTTTGCCCTAGTCACGCACCGTGCGCCACCCGCTTACAGTCCGTCGTAAGACGAGTCAGGCTTTCTCCTTGGCACTTACTCCTTGTGCCCACGTAGCACAACTCCTTGTGCTGCTAGTATAAGTTTGCTAGCACGATCCCTTTGTGCTAACAAGTCCCCTTTGGTTGAACTAAGCACTCACCCTTAGTGCCTTAGTCCGAATTTACGACTAAGTGTCGTAGACAATTGAGCACCCAAGCTATCACTCTTGCTGGTATGCCCGATCACTCACTTGGCACCCTCGTGCCTTAGTTTTCCTCACACTCTCTAAGTGTTAGAAGGAAAGGATTGAGTTGCAAGAGAACACAAGTGCTTAAGAAAGGCTTTTTGTATTGCTTTCAACTTATAGCTCTTAACTTGTTGATCTCTCAACTTGAATGTACAAATGAGCCTTGGAGCCTATTTATAGTGCTCCATCCTACTTACATGCTTCTCTAGAAAATTCCTAACCTCCTCAAATGGAGGGTTCTAGACTTACAACATCTAGAGTGTTCCCACCTCCTTAGGAACTACCTACATGGAGGTTTCTACATCCTTCCCTAGCTAGAATGTTCAAGACATCCCTAGAACATTCTAGAACGTACAGCACTTATGCACATGGATAGAAGACCCTAGACACTTCTACTATGTACATGAAAACCCTTGAATATTCTAGAGACATTCCCTCTAGAATACTCCTTCAAAAGAACCTTGTAGATAGCTCCGGAACCTTCTAGAAGCATCTCGCGTTTTCCGGACTACCTGCTGCCAAAACTCGTATTTCGGGACCTTGTCTTGGAAAACTGACACCACCATCGTCTTCCTTGGCCCAAAATACTGTGGACCCCCGAATTTGGGCCCATTTGGTCTTCATTTGGGTCTCCAAACGACCCATTATTGTGTTACTGTCAAGTGGGTGTTCACTAGGATTCTAAGCAAGGTGCAATATAAAGCTCTTTAGGGGGAAGTGCTTACCTGAGCACCAAGGCAAGCCCCCTAGCCCCGATTGTTGCCTTGCTGCCTAGTGACCCTCTTGACGTCCATCCTTGGTGTGGGAGATGACCCGTGACATTCTCCCCCACCCAAATTCTTGCCGTCCTCGGCAAGATCGTCCCTTGGAGTACGTGCCCGCGACCCGGTCTAGTGCACCACTTGTCCCTTGGGTGCTTCTGTGCGCCGCTGCCCCGTCCCTCCTGTTGACTCCACACTTGAGCCTTGTTGTCCCATCCCTTGGAACACCATGATGCCTTGTCCCTGGCATCTTTGTTGCCTTGATCCTCCCATGGATCGCACCTTGACGCCTTTGCCTTGGCGCCCACCAAGCTTTCAAGGTCGAGACCCTCACGTCCCGCTCCTTGAGTTGAGCGAGCTTGATCCCTATCTCGCTCCCCTTTGATGTGATGGTTATCATGCCATCACTTACCCGAACAGGTAGGACCTTGTGCAAGAACTCCATGCCTAGCACCACGTCCTCATCATCAATGTCGACCACCAAGAAGTCGACTTTTCCCTTCCACTTCCCCAAGCGGACTGGAACTCCCCACGCCTTTCCATACACTGGCGTGGCCTCTGAATTGATGGCTTTCATCTCGCCATCCACTTTAGTGAACTTCACCCCTAAGGCTTTGGCTTCCTCCTTAGCCAAGAAGTTGTGCGACGCTCCCGTGTCCACAAGTAGCCTCGTCGGTACCTCGTTCACTTCCCCGTTTACGATCATCGAGCTTCCTCCTTGCTTGATGTTCGTAGTGCTGCTTGTCGGAGATGCCCTTCCCTTGAGGTCATCGTCTTCGACCCTTGAAGTGTTGAGGAGCCTCATATTGGCGAGCTGGGCGTCCTCGCTCATGACCATTGCCCCCATCCTCGTTGTGGGTGCGGACTCCTCCTCCGTTGCGATCATGGCACTTAATTTTTTGCCGCATCGGGCAATTTCTCGCTAGGTGAGAACCCTCACACAGGAAACATTTGAACGGCTTTGAGGGCTTACCTCCGTCTCGGTTGTCCCCCTTCGACTCCCACTTGGACTTGGCCTTGTCCTTGCCATGATCCGCATGCCTGGCCTTTGGACGTGATGCCTCTTCTTCCTCTTGGTCATCTTCCTCGACCCTTCTGCCCCTGTCCCTTCTCGATTCCCTCGGGATCTCGATCAAGGACTCCGCCACGGCTATTGCCTCAGCAAGTGTCTTAACATTCCGTCTTTCCACCTCTTGCTGGGCCCATCGTTGTAAACCTCCGGTGAAGTAAATGACTTGGTTCACCTCCGATAAATCATCGATCTCAAGCATGAGGGATGTGAATTGCCTGATGTACTCCTTGATTGTGCTAGTGTGCTTTAAGTCACGTAGCTTCATCATGGAGACCTTCTTGGCATTCTCCGGGTAGAACTGACGCTTGAAATCTTTCTTGAACTCGTCCCATGTGCTGATGGAACAAGTCCCCTTCTTGATGTCCAACTCTCGACGCCTCCACCAAAGGACAGCATCCTCGCCCAAGTACATTGCGGCGGTATTGATCTTTGATGCATCGTCATCCATCTTCATTGCGTCGAAGTACCTCTCGACGCCCCATAGGAAGTTGTCTATTTCTCGAGCGTCTCGCTTCCCATGGTATTTTTGTGGCTTTGGGACCTCCATCTTTGGCCCTTGTAGGATAGTGACACTCCCGGTCACTGCTGCCTTCTTACATAGAATGACATCCTCCTTCACCGACTCCACCTCAGCTCGGATGTCCCTTAGTTGCCCAAGCAACTCTTCTTTGAGTTTCGCGACCTCTTCGCGAATTGTTGCCAACGCGCTATTGACGAGCCCAAGAGTCTCGTCCCTCAAATCTTGGGTAGCAGTGTGTGCGGCCTCCACTTTTCCTTCGAGCCCCTCCACGGAGTCCGAGAGTTGTGTAATATCATCGTGCATGTTCGCCACAGTACACTCTACCTTCATGAGGCGGGGTTCCAACTCAGAAGTCAAGGTTCTGGACACCGATGGGTCCCTCGATAGGTCCCTCGTTCCCTTCTTCTTGGACCTCCTTGTTGTCTCCTCTTCCCCTTGAAAAACTTGGCTCGCCGGAACTTCTTTGTCGCCAGTCATACTTATTTCCACAATAAGAATGAAGCGACTTACCTTGTTGCCTAGCTACCGTCCTTTCGTAGCTCCAACAGCAACGCCTTGAATTTACGATGCCGATCCCACAGGACAATCGTAGCCTTGCTCTGATACCACCTGTCACGTGCCGACTACTTTGCCCTAGTCACGCACCGTGCGCCACCCGCTTACAGTCCGTCGTAAGACGAGTCAGGCTTTCTCCTTGGCACTTACTCCTTGTGCCCACGTAGCACAACTCCTTGTGCTGCTAGTATAAGTTTGCTAGCACGATCCCTTTGTGCTAACAAGTCCCCTTTGGTTGAACTAAGCACTCACCCTTAGTGCCTTAGTCCGAATTTACGACTAAGTGTCGTAGACAATTGAGCACCCAAGCTATCACTCTTGCTGGTATGCCCGATCACTCACTTGGCACCCTCGTGCCTTAGTTTTTCTCACACTCTCTAAGTGTTGGAAGGAAAGGATTGAGTTGCAAGAGAACACAAGTGCTTAAGAAAGGCTTTTTGTATTGCTTTCAACTTATAGCTCTTAACTTGTTGATCTCTCAACTTGAATGTACAAATGAGCCTTGGAGCCTATTTATAGTGCTCCATCCTACTTACATGCTTCTCTAGAAAATTCCTAACCTCCTCAAATGGAGGGTTCTAGACTTACAACATCTAGAGTGTTCCCACCTCCTTAGGAACTACCTACATGGAGGTTTCTACATCCTTCCCTAGCTAGAATGTTCAAGACATCCCTAGAACATTCTAGAACGTACAGCACTTATGCACATGGATAGAAGACCCTAGACACTTCTACTATGTACATGAAAACCCTTGAATATTCTAGAGACATTCCCTCTAGAATACTCCTTCAAAAGAACCTTGTAGATAGCTCCGGAACCTTCTAGAAGCATCTCGCGTTTTCCGGACTACCTGCTGCCAAAACTCGTATTTCGGGACCTTGTCTTGGAAAACTGACACCACCATCGTCTTCCTTGGCCCAAAATACTGTGGACCCCCGAATTTGGGCCCATTTGGTCTTCATTTGGGTCTCCAAACGACCCATTATTGTGTTACTGTCAAGTGGGTGTTCACTAGGATTCTAAGCAAGGTGCAATATAAAGCTCTTTAGGGGGAAGTGCTTACCTGAGCACCAAGGCAAGCCCCCTAGCCCCGATTGTTGCCTTGCTGCCTAGTGACCCTCTTGACGTCCATCCTTGGTGTGGGAGATGACCCGTGACATTCTCCCCCACCCAAATTCTTGCCGTCCTCGGCAAGATCGTCCCTTGGAGTACGTGCCCGCGACCCGGTCTAGTGCACCACTTGTCCCTTGGGTGCTTCTGTGCGCCGCTGCCCCGTCCCTCCTGTTGACTCCACACTTGAGCCTTGTTGTCCCATCCCTTGGAACACCATGATGCCTTGTCCCTGGCATCTTTGTTGCCTTGATCCTCCCATGGATCGCACCTTGACGCCTTTGCCTTGGCGCCCACCAAGCTTTCAAGGTCGAGACCCTCACGTCCCGCTCCTTGAGTTGAGCGAGCTTGATCCCTATCTCGCTCCCCTTTGATGTGATGGTTATCATGCCATCACTTACCCGAACAGGTAGGACCTTGTGCAAGAACTCCATGCCTAGCACCACGTCCTCATCATCAATGTCGACCACCAAGAAGTCGACTTTTCCCTTCCACTTCCCCAAGCGGACTGGAACTCCCCACGCCTTTCCATACACTGGCGTGGCCTCTGAATTGATGGCTTTCATCTCGCCATCCACTTTAGTGAACTTCACCCCTAAGGCTTTGGCTTCCTCCTTAGCCAAGAAGTTGTGCGACGCTCCCGTGTCCACAAGTAGCCTCGTCGGTACCTCGTTCACTTCCCCGTTTACGATCATCGAGCTTCCTCCTTGCTTGATGTTCGTAGTGCTGCTTGTCGGAGATGCCCTTCCCTTGAGGTCATCGTCTTCGACCCTTGAAGTGTTGAGGAGCCTCATATTGGCGAGCTGGGCGTCCTCGCTCATGACCATTGCCCCCATCCTCGTTGTGGGTGCGGACTCCTCCTCCGTTGCGATCATGGCACTTAATTTTTGCCGCATCGGGCAATTTCTCGCTAGGTGAGAACCCTCACACAGGAAACATTTGAACGGCTTTGAGGGCTTACCTCCGTCTCGGTTGTCCCCCTTCGACTCCCACTTGGACTTGGCCTTGTCCTTGCCATGATCCGCATGCCTGGCCTTTGGACGTGATGCCTCTTCTTCCTCTTGGTCATCTTCCTCGACCCTTCTGCCCCTGTCCCTTCTCGATTCCCTCGGGATCTCGATCAAGGACTCCGCCACGGCTATTGCCTCAGCAAGTGTCTTAACATTCCGTCTTTCCACCTCTTGCTGGGCCCATCGTTGTAAACCTCCGGTGAAGTAAATGACTTGGTTCACCTCCGATAAATCATCGATCTCAAGCATGAGGGATGTGAATTGCCTGATGTACTCCTTGATTGTGCTAGTGTGCTTTAAGTCACGTAGCTTCATCATGGAGACCTTCTTGGCATTCTCCGGGTAGAACTGACGCTTGAAATCTTTCTTGAACTCGTCCCATGTGCTGATGGAACAAGTCCCCTTCTTGATGTCCAACTCTCGACGCCTCCACCAAAGGACAGCATCCTCGCCCAAGTACATTGCGGCGGTATTGATCTTTGATGCATCGTCATCCATCTTCATTGCGTCGAAGTACCTCTCGACGCCCCATAGGAAGTTGTCTATTTCTCGAGCGTCTCGCTTCCCATGGTATTTTTGTGGCTTTGGGACCTCCATCTTTGGCCCTTGTAGGATAGTGACACTCCCGGTCACTGCTGCCTTCTTACATAGAATGACATCCTCCTTCACCGACTCCACCTCAGCTCGGATGTCCCTTAGTTGCCCAAGCAACTCTTCTTTGAGTTTCGCGACCTCTTCGCGAATTGTTGCCAACGCGCTATTGACGAGCCCAAGAGTCTCGTCCCTCAAATCTTGGGTAGCAGTGTGTGCGGCCTCCACTTTTCCTTCGAGCCCCTCCACGGAGTCCGAGAGTTGTGTAATATCATCGTGCATGTTCGCCACAGTACACTCTACCTTCATGAGGCGGGGTTCCAACTCAGAAGTCAAGGTTCTGGACACCGATGGGTCCCTCGATAGGTCCCTCGTTCCCTTCTTCTTGGACCTCCTTGTTGTCTCCTCTTCCCCTTGAAAAACTTGGCTCGCCGGAACTTCTTTGTCGCCAGTCATACTTATTTCCACAATAAGAATGAAGCGACTTACCTTGTTGCCTAGCTACCGTCCTTTCGTAGCTCCAACAGCAACGCCTTGAATTTACGATGCCGATCCCACACGACAATCGTAGCCTTGCTCTGATACCACCTGTCACGTGCCGACTACTTTGCCCTAGTCACGCACCGTGCGCCACCCGCTTACAGTCCGTCGTAAGACGAGTCAGGCTTTCTCCTTGGCACTTACTCCTTGTGCCCACGTAGCACAACTCCTTGTGCTGCTAGTATAAGTTTGCTAGCACGATCCCTTTGTGCTAACAAGTCCCCTTTGGTTGAACTAAGCACTCACCCTTAGTGCCTTAGTCCGAATTTACGACTAAGTGTCGTAGACAATTGAGCACCCAAGCTATCACTCTTGCTGGTATGCCCGATCACTCACTTGGCACCCTCGTGCCTTAGTTTTCCTCACACTCTCTAAGTGTTGGAAGGAAAGAATTGAGTTGCAAGAGAACACAAGTGCTTAAGAAAGGCTTTTTGTATTGCTTTCAACTTATAGCTCTTAACTTGTTGATCTCTCAACTTGAATGTACAAATGAGCCTTGGAGCCTATTTATAGTGCTCCATCCTACTTACATGCTTCTCTAGAAAATTCCTAACCTCCTCAAATGGAGGGTTCTAGACTTACAACATCTAGAGTGTTCCCACCTCCTTAGGAACTACCTACATGGAGGTTTCTACATCCTTCCCTAGCTAGAATGTTCAAGACATCCCTAGAACATTCTAGAACGTACAACACTTATGCACATGGATAGAAGACCCTAGACACTTCTACTATGTACATGAAAACCCTTGAATATTCTAGAGACATTCCCTCTAGAATACTCCTTCAAAAGAACCTTGTAGATAGCTCCGGAACCTTCTAGAAGCATCTCGCGTTTTCCGGACTACCTGCTGCCAAAACTCGTATTTCGGGACCTTGTCTTGGAAAACTGACACCACCATCGTCTTCCTTGGCCCAAAATACTGTGGACCCCCGAATTTGGGCCCATTTGGTCTTCATTTGGGTCTCCAAACGACCCATTATTGTGTTACTGTCAAGTGGGTGTTCACTAGGATTCTAAGCAAGGTGCAATATAAAGCTCTTTAGGGGGAAGTGCTTACCTGAGCACCAAGGCAAGCCCCCTAGCCCCGATTGTTGCCTTGCTGCCTAGTGACCCTCTTGACGTCCATCCTTGGTGTGGGAGATGACCCGTGACATCTTGCTGTCTTCTTCTTTGCCTTTTGTTTCTTGCTTCCTGTTTCTGCTATAACTACTATGCTGCTGCCTGGCAACCGTTTTTCTTTTCTTATTTTTTTGCTGTTTGTTTGGCTTGGGTATTTGTATTCTTGGGCATTATCAGAAGTTTTTTATTATTAGTTTGAAGTGGTTAACATATGTAGATCAAATATGAAGAACTATAGAATTTTAGCTCTTAAATCATTTACAAGGGTGTTTTTGATGTTTTCTTATTATTAGTTTGGGTATTTGAAAAATAAATTTCCAAACAAACAAAGAAAAATGGGATTCATGGAAAATGAATTTCCGAACAAACAAAGGAAAATAGGATACTTGGAAATGAATTTCCTTACAAACAAACAAAGGAAAACTAAACCAAATTTGAGTTTTCCTCCGGAAAATAGATTTTCATGGAAATTCATTTTCCATTAAATTTGTTTTCCGTCAAAACAAACAAAGCCTTAATTTCAGCCTAGAACTTTTACTCTTTTTCTGTGAGGGGCCTAAGGGCCTAGGAAATTTGCATATGGTCTCCCAATGCCAACATTTGATCACAGAGAATCACCATACTGATTCTTATCACAATGGATGTAAAAAATCTAACCTCTATAAGAAGCCTATCAAACCGTTCCTCTATTATTGTCTTTCTTTATTCATACTTCATAGTTCTTGTATCCTTTTTTCCCTGAACTTTTAGTGTTTCCTACAAGTATACTGCACTTCAGTGACTTCACATGTAAAGTGAATGTAGGAACAAAAAGGGAAAAATAAGCACATAATAAAAGCAAAGAATAGAAAAGGAGCTAGCATTTGAATTTAATTTACATTTGAATAATTTTAGTTTACTTAAACACATTTTAGTCACCAATGAAAGACACAACTACTCTCAGACAAGTTCAACCCTTGTAAGGCCTGCATCAATTGCTATACTCAAGGCGTGTCTGGCTGCCAACGCTTCCACAACCTCTACACTTTCACTTCCTCTGCTAAGCACACAAGTTGCAGCCCTAACATCACCCATACTGTCACGAACCACACCTCCCAGACCGAGTGAACCATCTTTGAAGCACGCAACATCAGAATTAATCTTGAAGTTCTGGTGTGACTCGTGAGCTTTCTCAATTTCATCAATAAGACTTATAGCTTTCCTTACAATCTCAACATTAAGCACTCTTTTACCTTCAAACACCCAAGCGTTTCTGCGCAGCCAAATACCCAAAAGCAAAGACCAAAAAATACTCCACCAGGAACGATCAGAGTAAAATTTATCAATCCATTCACACCAGTCCACGAGACTTGAGAAAGAGCATTTACTCACATCCAGTCTTAGGGGGGAGGCATACCAAATTAATTTGGCATCCGAAAAAAACACCAGAGCATGCAGCAGGGTAAATTACTATTTATACTTTTAGAGCAAAATAGTTAACTTTTGCACAATTTTAGTTTATTTTAACGCATTTTAATCTAATTAGCCTGGTTTGATATTTATGAATTTTAGCTTACTTTAAAGAACTAGATTTTTAAACCTAGATTGTTAAAGCAAATTCTAAATTGAATAACTAAAATCTGTTGATAACGAGCTAAATGAAATGAATTTTAGTTTCCACACATTCTAAAAATAACAAGATAGATTAAAAAAAAAATAGTTTAGAAATCTAATTCAACTAAAATCGCAAAATTAAACTAATTACAAATCGATTAATAAAATTTCTGCAAAATTAACCACAATCTAGGAAAAATTCCTGGCACATCCAACAATCAATCTGTTTCACTTCAATTTGCAGCAGAAGAACTTCAAAATTGAAGAACTGGTAAAGTAAAATGTAAATTTGATATCAAAATTGAACGTATGAAGAAATTCAAAGAGTTCGATTTAAGAATCAACGATAAACCCTAGATAATGAAATCGAAATTCAATGATTACAAAACAGAGAGAAATAAAACATCTTACCTCAGAAGATGCTTCAACGGAGTAGGGAAAGCTCAGAATCCGCGTCAATGGAGTAGAGAAAGCTTGGAAGCCGTGTCAATGGAGAATTATTCAATGCTTACCTCTATCGTTGAGAAATTTTGCAGCGAATTCAGCACAACATTGAAGAAATATGTAAATTGTAGCAACTTTTTCTGATATTGGAGCTATTGATTGAATTGAGGAAGCTTGAATAAAGCTTGAGGAGAGAGAACAATGGCGTCAATGATATGAGAAAGAGGGAAGAGAAAATCGCCGAGGAGAGAGGAGAGAGAAACTCATTCAATTCGTCTGATTTAATTTGGGCCGTTAGATCGCGCGCCTTTTGTGTTAGATCCAACGGTTCTCATTAGTTCCTAATTCCTATAATAGGATTGGTTCTCATTATAACCTAACACACACTCTCTCTCTCTCTCTCTCTCTCTCTCTATATATATATATATATATATATATATATATATATATATATATATATATATATATATATATATATTAATAAAAGATAATATAGATTATTATATTTTTCTTTCACTTCTTTAATTAATTTAATCAAACTTATTAATTTGTGATGTATCAGGACACCGCCATGATATATGGACAATAACTAGTTTGCTTTAAAGCGTTATAAGGCCCGCCATGTCCCATAATTGGGCGATGGTATTGTGAGGAGGGTAGCTCGTCGTTAAGGATCCCACTTCCTCTATGCCCATGACTCTTTAAAAGACTAGGACTTTACACTTTTGAAGGTGTGTTAATATTTGAATTCCTAACTGTTTGGGGGATCTTGAATTAGTAATGATTCTGTCATTACACTCTTTTGTAAGAAACTAATAAGGAGTTGCCAATGAAATTTAGGAAAACTCATAAACCTCGTTCATGCCTTTCTCCCAAGTAGAGTTCAAAGGATATTTAGCATAAATAATAAGTTTACCATGTCCAAATTGGTCTACTTGTACCAAAAATGGGTTCGGGAGCGAGGTACTAAAATTACGTTCCCTTTAGGGGGGAATCGCTATCCTAGCCCAAGTGCGGCCTCTACTAGCTCTTCCTTTTTCACAATTTCATCATCAAACAATATATGCAACGTGATACCTAAAACTAAGTTAGTTGATTTTATTTACAAACATTAATCACATAAATATTACATTGAAACGAATGTCGTTATGCTTTGTTATTCAAATTTGTGAAAATAACAAGAAATAAACAATATTCGCCTTGACTTAAGTGATAAAACAACAATTAATTATTCCAATTCTAGTCTTTAATTAACGCAAAATACTATGTGAAATTATTTAATTAAAATTTTGTTTAAAGTGATCAAACAACACTAATTAATTGATTAAAGTTATTTAAACAAGAAAAGAAAACTGATTTATCTAAGTGCTCAGGAAACTAACTATTCTCCTTTGTTTTGGATGTTTATGGACCTTCCTTCTTCTTCTTCGTACCTCCTAGGCTTTAATGGAATCAATTAACGATGGAGAGTATTTGAGAAGAGATGAGAAAAGTAGTATGATAGTAAGAGGGTTTGAGAGATTAGGGATTTCACAAAGCTAGGATTTTAATTCTGGATTTTCTGGCGTGATTAGGGCTAACAAAGACCCCTATTTATAGGCGTAGGAATCTAGGTTTAGGGTTTTAGAGCCACAGCGTCAGGGGGTACGCGCAACTCTCAGAGTTGCGCTGGAGTGCCGAGGGCACCTTTAAGACTTGTGCGCGGCAGGCGCACGCAACTTTGAGAGTTGTGCGCGGTGCGGTTTGCCTTGTACGAAAACGCGTTTCTAAGACTTCCATAACTTTTGATTGCGAATTTGGATTAAGGCTAATAAGATATCATTGGAAATCTCTGAATGTCTACTTTCCAATGCCGTTAGAATTAGGTTAAAATCTGTTATGGATCAAAAGATATGGTTGTTTGAGTGCAAGGGTGTTGGTTTTAGGGCCCGATTTAGTATTTTGATGATAACTTCTTTGTTTTAACTCAAAATTGGGCTTATAATATACCGTTGGAAAGCTCTTTGAAAGGGATATCCAACTGTATAGGCCTTGAAAGGATAATGGGTGGTTAAATGCTCTGGTTGGCTCGGTTTTCAATAATGTAAGATCCATTAGATCCAATCATTGCATTTGACGCATTTAGGTCCGTTATTAATCAAGATTAAACATGTATGAACACGTTTTAGGCATAATTAGTAATTGGACTAGGCTCTAAGATAATTTGGTCTCAAATACGGGTCTTAACTTACTTCATAATGCATTTCGGAGTCCAAAAACAATTCAACTTTTATCTAGCATGAAGAATGGGTTTTTGTAACATCATCGCACTTCTCGTCAGGACAGGAGGCAAAAAGTAGGTGTCTACAGAATTATAGAATTATAGACTCGCCAGAGTCGGTCTCAGCCCAACAATTCGAAGAGGGTAAATTTTCCCAGCACAAGGGTAAATCGGTAAATTCGCATGGCGCTAAACTTAAGTTGTATGTATTGGCCGGAATGTGCAATACGTATAAAAATACTAATATATAATATGTTATCCATGTTTTATTTTAGATCCCATTGTCTTCATTTTCCGCTTTTCTTCTCTTCTCTTCTCTTCAGCCTCTTCATATTCTCTTCCCTTCTCTTCTCTTCTCTTCAGCCTCTTCATATTCTCTTCCCTTCTCTTCTCTCAAGCTTGTTCAATACTTCCCAGGAGAGTCGAACAATCAAGGAGACCAACTAATTATGCGGGTAGATTGTAGGGGAAAGATATCCTTGATAATAGATTGTTTAAGCAAAGATCATGCGCAATTGAGCGACAAAAATGATCTCCCCTCTTCTTAGAGCTTTACTTTCAAACAAGCAAAGATCCGTGTTTTATTGCTTTCATTTTCTTTTCTTTTTAGAATAGATTTTCTCTCATGGGAATGTTTGTGTCTTTTGCTAGGTACATAACTTGATATGCTTTGGTGCATTGGTTTGGATCAAGAATCAAGGAAGTTTGACTCCTATTTTTGCTAGCATATGGAAATTAAGATTCAATTCTAAAGGAAATTAGCTTTGAAAGGTTTAATTGGGTCATTTGCGAGTAGTTACACCCACCTAAATCCGGTAATATCCTTCCTTGCTTTTTCTCTAATGAATGTTGACTTGTTGGACATATGTTGGAATTGTTGGTTTGATTTCTTCCTTTTCCCCTCCCATGGATTCTATGATTTACGATTTGTGTGTATTGTCTCATTCAAGCTTAAGGGAGGGTATTATATCATGTTTGTTGGGATGTTGATTCATATATGCTGTGCACGTTTGTATATGCATTTCCATGTTCTTTTATTTTGAAAAACTCCAAAAACAAAAATTTATTTCTATTAAGGCAAATTTTCATTGTGTCTTGTTTTGTTATTGCTTTGGACATAATACTTTTGGACTTGTATTGTTGAATGCTTTTCTTCTTAAATGGTAACGGTGTGCATGGTTTGAGAATATGCTTGGTTGATTCTAGGATAGAGCATGCTAAGGTAGTGTGTTTAGAACTTTTGGGACCTTGAAGCGGCCCTAGTCTATTTGCTTGTGGTAAGAAGGTGTTGCTTCCTATAGTGGATTTGAAGCTAATAGTGAGTTATTGCTACAACCATGCGAGATTTCATTTTTCTAGCCTTCTACCTATTTTGCATGAGTGGCGCATGGATCCTTAACTATTGCTTACTTTATCTAGAACTTGGATTTTATCTCCTGATATCGCGACCGAACCATTGGGAAGGACAAAGGCATCTTTTAGGGGTGGTTATTTTTACTTTTCTAGGTTTTGATTTTTAAATATTTGGTTTTTGGGTTTACATTTTCCTCTTTGCTAACTATTAGAGCCTTATACCCTCTTTTCTAGCCATATTACTAGCTTTTCAGCCATTTGTTTCATTTTTGTTTCCATCTTTGGTTTTTATGAAGCTAGTGGTTATAAGTTTATTTGGTGATTTTATGAGGAAATGTTTGGAAGTGTGTGCTCATTTTGTAAAGCAAGTATGTGTTGTATTAAAGTTTGTGAATAAAAGAAAATGCAAAGTTGAAAAAGCCGTCCATAGTTAAAGAGGCGAGGACAAAGCAATAAAGTAAAAAAAAAAAAAAAATGAAAGCAAAAGCAAATGCTTTGAAAAAGGTTACAAAAAAAAAAAAAAGTATTTTGATGTATGTGTGATCTCCCTAGTTTAGAGCATTTAGGACAATGCTCCATTTAAGCTTTGAGGGAAGCATTCTTACGCTTTTTGTATATATATTTGTGATTTTTGCTTTGAATAAGCTTGGGGGTGTTGGTATTTTTATTTGGTGATTGCTTGAATATGGTGTTGAGGATTGATCACCCTTTGCTTCACAATTTAGGTTTACCACCAAAATTTCAAATTTTAGCCTACCATTACCCTTTTCTCCCATACGTTACAACCCTTTCCAAGACCTTTTGACCTTTATGGTTGAGTCACAAGTCGGTGGAGGGAAATGGGAGTCAAGCCTATGGAGCGGTTTGCATAGTCAAGATGTCGAGTAGCCCCAAAATCTCTTCGTTTCCGGTTCCTTTGAGGAATCATTGAGATGCTCACTAGAGGTGGATTTGAAACTAGTAGGGAGAATGCGGTAAGATTGTTTGGGATGAAGGTGAATTGTATCTTATTAGCTCTCTATGCTTAGCATATTTTATGTTTCAATCAACCTTGGATATCTTGAAACATGCACATCCTTTATTTGCTTAGAAAGAATTGCATCCATTTGTGCTTGTACATTTGTAAAAGTCCTTTCAAGAGCATATGTTTTCTTTACTTTTCTTTTGATTTCCTTTTCATGCTTTGCCTTGTGTGTTTGGTTTGGGAGAGTTATGGGGTAAACTCTTAGAAAACCCTTACGAGACCTCACTCGTCCTCATTGGCAACTTTGGGGCTTTGATGGCTTGTTGTAGCTAAAAGCAACCGTGATTCTTACGAAAGTGAGTTAGTGTATATTCTCATCTCCCCTGTTCTTTTGTTTGTTTGAGTAAGCTCATCAATTTCCTTTGCTTGCTTTTGTATTGCTCAAGGACGAGCAAAAGTTTAGCTTGGGGGAATTTAAGGAGTGCCATTATTTGATGAGTTTTTAGGTTGTTTTTACCTTCTTTTTATAGCTTTCTTTCTTAATAAATGCTTAGTTTTTTTCATTAGCTCTTGCGCTCTCAAGGCGCGCTCTCATGAGATCATGGTGTTGAACCGACCGTCAACTCCATTTGAATATGCCATACTTGGTGACTCTCATGAAGATATTACGTGCGCACACGAAGACCCATTTGCAAGCGCACGAAGCTACGAAGAACTCGAGAAACCCGAAAGAGCACGGGCGTGTAACCCACATGCGCGGGCGCGCCACCCTGCTCAACGCAGG